AGGTATGACCCTGACCCTCCATCATTATTAATTACAGCAGCTTTCTGTTGGCAGCAACAGCAGACTGACAACCAAATGGTACTGCACACAGCAGCAGAGGATCCAGCCCCTCCTGGCCTGACCAGGAAAGTTGTGAGGAAGCTGAAGCCAGCCTTCCCCCCCGCCCAACTCCGCTAACCTAATCTTTCGGGCTCTCAGAGCAAGAGGGACAGCACATCGGGTTCATGGCCCCAAGATTAACACCACCACTGACCACGATGTTGACTAAAGAAAGCATCTTACCCAAAACAATTCTGGAAATCCTTTTCGTAACGCTTGCTGTCAGTGAAACGAGAACTGGAAGACTTAGCTCTGCAAATACAGCAGCCCTCTATACTCCGATACATCTTCGGTTTGTGAAAGCCAAACATTTTCTCCTCCCAGCTGTAGCCTGTGAAAACAAACGGGAACTGATGTTACTTATCACTGTTAGATACTGAAAGAAAAACCTTGGCAGTTCACTGGGCAAGCCAAAAGTAAATTATAATTCAGGATGGGAAACTGCTAGATTAGGCTATAACTCTCCCCTGCATTGCCCCAGAAGAACAGATGCACATAGAATACACTTTCTTATTAAAAAAATAAATTAACAGCTGGAATATTAAGCAATACCCAGCAGAACTCATGACAAGCTCGTTTACTGCACAGTTCTACTCTAACGGCACATCTACAACAGCACGACCCAGAGGTGCGAACGCAGCTGACTTGGCTAACGAAAGCTCTACATATGTGGCAAAACAGGCTGCAGGACAGGCTGTGTGAACCTGCCCCAACCCCTGGATAAGTAGTTGGCAACTGAACCCTGGGTCACTGGAACTACATCACCAGTGATCACCAGTCATCATCACCAGTGTTTGTTGGAAACTTCCCTGCCAAACTTTGTTGAAAGTGAGTAGGAGTAATTTTAAATGAGCTGCAGTCATACCTCTAGGCTGTAGGGCAGACATACCTGAAAAGCCGCTCTAAAAACAGCAGGGTGGAGTGCCACCCAGCCCTCAATGGCCATGTCTGTGCTGCGGGACCCAGGAGCACTTCTTGACTCTCAGGCCTAGGTGAGCATCCCAGCTCCGTGTCTGCACAGGCTCAGTTCTCGCCCTCCTGCCTTCCCCGCCCTGCTTTCCATGGGAAGGAAACCCAGCTAAAGAAGGGCAGAGGAGCAGCACCCTGGGGCACATTTCAGCATGCGCCTACCACCCATCCCAGCCACTGCCAATGACACAGGAGCAAAAGGTACTCCATTTACAGGGAAGTTGTTTCTTCTTTACTACCAGCTCTGCAAACTCAGCACCAGCTCAGCAAGCCAAAAGCCATGCTGCTCTTTGAGGTCTGCCTCTCCTTTCCAGTACACCTGGGCTGGGATTTGCTATCAGAGCAGGTAACATAGAGTGGACGCATTTTCCAGGCAGAAACTTAAAAGTTAGTTACAAGTGGATTTATTGCAGTCACCACAACAAAGACCCCTTCAATACATGATGTTCCCACCACCAAAAATCAGTTCTCCCCAGGCACCCATTACTACCCAGCGCAGACTCCTATTAGGCACAGTCTGACACGGCACAAGAAGCTGTCAGAGCAAACAGATTTCCCACAGTGCTTCAAAAAACTAAACCAACAATTGAGCAAAGCCGGTGCTTTCCTGGCGCTGGGCCTGGACACACAGCAAGTCCTCACAGGCCACACAGCATCTGTCTTGTAACACAGGTGGGGACCGTTCCAAGAAGTTCTCTTTTAAACAGACCATGGTGCAAGGTTTGTCTCAACCACCTGCTGCAGGGAGCGAGCAGCCATCTCTGCTGCTTCTCAGCACACACCAACTGCTCAGAGAGGGGACAGGCCACCGGTTGCAGGAAGCTCCATGAGAACAAGTTCCCACTGCCAAGAACTTCTGCTTTTAAAAAATTGAAATTAGACAGAGTCATGCAAATAACACAAGATTTCCCCCTCTTCCCTTAACAAAAGGCCAAGTTCTTCCACTCTTGTAGAAGCTAACAGAAAACAACCTCTCCTCCCCACAAATGCTACTGAAAGACGCAGCAGCTCAGGCAGGACTTTCAGGAGAGCAGCATCTCCATGACCTGTGGGCAAGTCTGGTGAGAAGGAACTCCCGGTCACTTCTCAGTCCCAGGGACTGCCAAGTCCCAGCAACCCAACTTGGGGAATGTATGTGGTGTAGGGATCTGTCCTCAAGTCTTCCACCTGCAGGAAGGTAAGGGACAGAATTCCAATATCCTCCAGAGGGACAAAGGAAATTAACCTGAAATCTTCAGTCTACAGTGCCAAGACTTGTCACATCATTACAGCATTAAAGTAATTTGAAAAGCAGCTTCCGGTGAGGTCGAAAATATGCTTCCACAAAACGATATTGTGCTTACCTTACTGATGGACAGAGATTGCGTGTCTGGGGAAGAAGATCCCCTGCATTTTCACAGGACCATAGCAAAACCTAGCGAACCACCCAGGCCTAGTCACAGTCCTCCACACAGAGGTGAAAATACAGACCCCCCCAACCCCAGAGGGGATGATCAGAGCATGGCAGCACTGCAAAATAAATGCACAGGGTTCCACACAAGGCTCCCAGGCTCCTGAGAACAGAGAAGCAAAAACTTCATCTAATATTGTTGGTTAATACTCTTACATGAACTCCATTAAGGAACTCATATCCAGCTGAAAGCATACATGTTTGCATTTCAGTCTAGCGGATTATAATACAAGACCACTTGGTGCCCACTGAGGTTGTGTCTCCTTGCAATTACTACTGCACAAACACGTAGAAAGACACAAGTCAACTCTCCAAAAAGTTTTTCTTGACCAAACCCCTTGCAGAGCCTTTTGATGGCAAGGGACTTGCTAAGAGAGATGGAGGAGATAGGTCTTTCCTTCCTTCCTGTCCCAACTCACGCTGTTTGCCACAGGCTTGAACTGCTGTGTTCCTTTCTTCTTCGTGTACACTTACGGCACAAGGAGCTCACCTAAGGCTGGGTTTTCGCAAGGATGATTTGTACAAATACCCAGCACCCCAAATGCTGCCAGGCTTCTTGGGAGATTCATTGCTCCTTCTACTAGCACAGCGTTGGCCTGAAGGCCAGGAGCAGCTGTACTAAGCAGAAGAAGATGACCTGCTGAATGGGTTTGTTGAGGGATGGTTAGACTCAGAACTACTCTCTGCTTCTGCTAAGGTATGTTTTCAAGCACACTTAGAAAAATGAACTCAAATGCACAGCCAAATCCAGTTAGTACCCCTGGACTGTCAAAACAAATAAACAACAGAGCGTCTAGGCAAACACTTAGAATATGTATTTTGTTTCTTAGCATCCAATGTGCTCCTTCAAGAGACAGTCTCTTGAGGACACTGTGTTTAACAAGCCTCTGGAGATCCAACAACATGTTCACCTGGGAACTTCCAACTACCAAACAGCAATTTTAGATTTTGCTTGACTACCCCAACCCTAAGTCTGTGGTCTGGTGCTTTTCTTTAGAAAGTCAAAGACTAACTGCAGACACAAAGCTTAAGCAGCAAGAACATCTTGACTGTTACAGGGCAAGACACAAAACCAATCTCAACAATTTGATTTACTTTCTGACCCGATTTCTCCCAGAAATCCAGACGCTGATGAGATGATCTCTGTCACCAGCTGGTATTTATACCACAGCAGAACAAGATGCATGTTTCACAATTAATGTTCTAGCAAAGGCTGGCATCAGACAAGTATGTTCTGAAAATATTTTGTTTTGCATCGTTGCTGCCATTCGCACAGGAGCAGCCTTTCAACACCATCTTTCAATAGAAGGGAAACTAGTGCCATCTGTTTCCCACTTGATGAATGGTCAGCAACGGTATTACCATACATCATGCCTGAATGGGCAAGAGTTAGTAGCAAAACCACAAGTAAAACAGATTTCTCTGACAACTGCATCGAAGTGCAGTTATAAATGGAAGGCGTCAGTCCAGTTACACATTTAATCCTAAACAGTTGCCATTTGACCATTATACACTAAATATTCTGTCAGCTGGAGAGCTTAATAGCTAATGTAGAAGCATTTGATTCTAGAAGTACTTATCAGCACTGCTAAACTTAACGCTCTCTGTCTCAGCTTCCATTCTAAACCATGTGTGTCTAGTGCTGGAGTGGACACCACACTTCTATAGACTTAAGTGTACTTAGATGTACATATGTCTGGGCCCTTTAAAAGGTTTTAACTTGAAAGCTTTGCCATTTAGATCACAAATTAGAAGCAGGGACTTAGACTGCCAGCGACCATAACGCCTGAATCTTATCTGTGGAAGTTTAACCACGTGACATTTGGGACAGATAAAAAGATGGCAAGCAGGAACGTGGCTCCACAGAAGTTAAAACGTATTACACAAGATAGTTTTGCCAAATTTAAGCATGTCATTGAAACGTATGACATCTTTTAAATCAGCACTTGCACAGAAGCAAAAGGCACAGCTCATCAGCAAAGAATCAAAAATCCTACTGGAGCATATTTGTCATTCTGCAGAAATGGAGATTCTCCTGCACTAGTAGAGGAGCAGTATTCCTCCAAGTCAGGGGAAAAGTGGTCCTCCGCCTCCTCCCTTGTCTCCCTGCAAAGGAGAAGTTGCGAAACAACTGCTTTAGCAACTTGGACTCAGAAAAGACTGCAGGAACAAGTTCCCTCCATCCTTCTGCCCTCTCACTTTTGGAAAAGCAGCATCAAAAATAAAGCCTTGTCTTGCAAAAAATTTGGAGTCAAGCAGAGAACAGTAAAGTAGGTAGGGAATAAAAAACCCCACACCCTGCTTATTACATTTGTGAAAGGCTGGTACAAAGCAGCATGCATCATACGTGTGTGAAAATGGTTTCATGCTTTCATTACCTGTCAGGACTAGAATTTGGTGCTTAGTTTTCTTTGCAAAATTTAATTTGATGATCTAAATTAAAAGGAGGTATTGCTTCAGATGCTCATTAAGTTTTCAAGTTAGGGAAGAACTTCTGAGCTGAACTCTCTTAGATTTTAAAATAAGAAAAGCTGAGCCACTTTCATTTGCCTTTCCAGATTCCTTCTGCATTCTTTCTGATCACCCAAGAAGAATGAAAACCTTTTATAATAGAAAGGAAGGAATTCCTAGAAGGCAGGCATGTCACAATTATCAGGCCAGTCGGAAGGAACATGCTCACCTGCTTCTTGCAAAGCTAATAGAGAAACATTCCCTGGGGTTATGGGAGAGCAGAGGGATGCCAGTCCAACTGCTCAATACCTTCCTCTCTTCCTATCTCCTCGTTCTGACCCTGAAGCGTTCACCCTTTGTGCAACCCAAAACTGCCCGTACGTTGTCAGCGAGGAGGAGAACCCCTGCAAATAATTTGATTTCCCCTTCTGCGTACAAAGCAGCCTTGGCACAGCCTC